AATGCAGGACAGTTTTGGCCCCTGGAATAAGGTTCCGCACCCTGCCTTATAACCATCCTGCAAACAAGCTCAGAGCTATCATCTCGATAACATACATGAAGAACTGAAGATGAGAAATGGGGACATTCAATAAGGTCACCCAGTGAGTTCAAGTATGAAATAAGATCTGAACCAGGGACTTTCTTGTCCACATATTTCACAAACCCATAGCAAGCATACCATACTAGTTTTCAGAACATATTTTGAAATATTGCTGTTTTAGGATATATACCAAACATAAATGTGATTAATGTGTTACATTAGTAAATTAAAATAGCTGTATCAACACTGTCCACTACTGATATGAATGCTACCACAGTAAGGGCGATGTGCTAGACATACACTATGCACCAATTTATTAAGCAAATGAACATTATCAGTATCACAGCCATTCTAACCTACTTTGTGGGAAGATGCAGGCAAAGAAACCTCCAGCAAGCCTACCCCCTCCTGCCTTTTTTTACAGTCAAATGGCACAAACTGCTATGTGGATAACTAGTTATGGTGTGTTGTCATATTGTTTGAACCCAGACTATTTCTTGCAGGCCAGGTTTAATGGTCACCCTGATGTCATTTGGCTTGTTGTAGGTGCTTGTGTACCCACAGACATATCATCTGAACCCAGGCAAATGACTCCACTGTGGGCCCAGGGAATTGGCAAACAAGCCACTCAGGAAAGTGGCAAAAGCTCTTGTCCTTGCCAAGTTCACTCAGGTCATCATTAGCTTTGGAGTGACTGACATAACTTCTCCTACCCCTCTTTTTTTTTTTTTTTTTTTTGAAGAACACTTTTCAAGGTCTCTGAGCTGATAGCCAGGGACAGCCCCTCCAAGTGCCTAACTGGCACACTGGAGCAGCAGGCACTGGTTCAGTACCTTGGAAAAATGTATCCCAAAATGATTTTGTTAATTTTTAAAAGTTATTGGTAATTAATTTTGCATAAGTGTGCAATTTCAGCTACTGCAAACAAGATGCCTTGCCTGTTCGATGTCGTTATAAATGTCCGTTGTGAATGCTGGCAACATCTATAGACACTTCTCACATTAGGCTTCATATATACATTACTTTGCTTT